TCTGTGATCGGCCAAAGAGGCTCTGATGGATTATATAAATTTTTAACTGATGGTCATAACCACCCAGTGGTTGGAAAGCGGTTGCAACTGTTCAGCTCGTCGCAAATTCAGAGCTTTACTTAGTGGAAGCAAGTGGCAGCCACTGGCACTTATTCACTGTGGAGTATCGTTGCTGCTCTACCGCGCTTTACGTCCTTCTTGCTCCAAAGAGACAAAGTATAAAATTACAGTCAATCAGACGAAATATTAACACAAACTACTGCATCAGGGTTTAGGCCCCTAACCGTCAACACGGTAGACAGAGAACATTCTTCTGCTTGGCGCAACGGTATCTCGTCAATTACGTGCATATGTCGACGGTTCCATTGTATCATGACACCTGCGGCAAGTGGATTCAAAACATCATCACTGCTTCTGACCGACATAGATAATATGAAGTGACACCTACATGCATGCTATCCTCAACGACGGTATTGAAAACAAGCTTCTTTTGGTAAACCGGTATTTCTGCTGTATAATAATATCCATACATGCATATACTTAAGCGATTATTTTGTTTAATCTAAGCATTGATATGGTTTGGCGTCAATACCATCGGATCATGGCATACATAAAACGTCCCGTAAACCTTGACAAAAAATCGTTAGGCTCGACGATGTTATGAAATTCTGGGAAGCGACAAAACTTCCCTTACTGTTAACAAAATAGCTTTAAAAATGTTCAACTTCGTGCGTTCGGATAATTTATTTCTCTAATTACTGACACTTTAAGCAAACTATACACCGCATCTTTCGCATGCAATCGCAACCGGCCGCATAGCCGCCAGAGGACGTACTTATTCTTGAAATCATACAAGGTCTTAAAAGACCTATTCCAAAAATTACCAACTTTACAACCGCTTCATTGCTGAAGAGTTGGACTAGATGCGTACCAGTCAACGTTGGGTAAATAACCGACTATACACATGGCTCAAGCGTTATATAGAAAATGACTAGTATGAAAATGTGGGTTTACTCATTTTTCTATTACAGCTTATAATAACTTCGCTAATTTTTTGCAGTGATCTTAGCGGTGCATTCTATTAATCATGCAGACATAAGCTTCATCCGCTTCCAATCATATGCGATGTACATTTGGCATAAGCTTAAGAAATTACGAATGAAACCGAAAAAGGATTAAATCACATTACTTCAGGAAAAATCTGGTTATTGTTACTAGCACGATTAAACAACCAAAAACAAACTTTTTACAGTAGCTGCCAAAGAACATCGGGCCTAAAATATGTTTTCTTTTCTTTCAGCAAGATCTACCGTCATGAGCAGAAAGCAAGGCGTCCCTCTTTCCATCATGGCGAAACTTATGTATGCCTCCAACAAACAACAATAAATGGTGATTGCATCTTGATAATCTCGTATCACCGTATCTCCATAGATTGCCGTTGACAAAGGCTGGTAAAATTTGGTGTTGAGCCAAAAAACTTTGCATCGTGTGTATTATAAAGTAGTAGTACTTTATTTGTGAATCAGCATACGAAGTCAAGTACCTGCACGGATAAAACTAACTTACGTTTTGTCAATGCAAATGGCTTTGGCCGTGACATAAGCCCTTTTGTGATACTCAAAACTATTTGCATTGAGAAAAAGCGGGATTTACAACCGTGGCATCTATTGAAAAATGACGTTTCGAAAATTGATATATTACGGATCCCAGATAATCATACGAAAAAGACTGATAACCGTGAGCTTAGAGTTCTCTTAAGTAAACTTCACTGACTGACATCATTAATAAAGGACGGACGGCCTGTGCACATGATGTCGGAATTTATGACGCTGACATTTGCTCTAATCCAGAATTGGTCACGATGAAAATCAGGAAGAAGATTAGCAAATTCAAAGGGCATTATAGCACTAGATATGATCCAAAGGAAAATTTGCGTAACATCAAGCAAAGCCACGATAACAGCATAAAATTATGGAAGGGGTCGATTGAATAAATGAGCGAGGCAGGAAGAGTTAATAAGCGAAAGTGAGGCAGAGAATGGAGCAATGGAGTTCAGTTCCTACCTTCAGACGTCCAACGCTGTTCCTTATGCGAGTTAGACCCCGATCCGTGTTTTATTGGCGTTTTGTCACTAAGTAGCAAAATTCGTTGTCACTATACTCTTCTGCCGCAATAACTGTATCTACAGCCACATTGTCTATGCACTTCACTGCTTCCGGGAACGATGTAATAACCATACATTATGATAGGAAAGCGGCAATCGATTTCCTCGAATTAATGAACGAACGAAACAACGAGTTAACACACGAACTGGGGAATAAGCTAGCACATGAATGAACAAGGATCGATCTAACGAACGACTGGTTAAATGAGAAAGAGAGCGAGCACAAATGTGAGATATCCATTTAGTGAATGATACAAGGAATAAACACAGGAAAGAGAAAAAGAATGAATCTGACGAATGGCTGAATGAATCAAATCATCAGTGACCAAATAATGAAATTAACGAAGACCTAAAACATAAAAAATAACGAACGAAAACGTACTTTAATCAGTAATTGAGCGAACAAGCTAATGACGTATACCGGTATGGAAGAAGGGGAAGGGGAAAAAAGTCGCTGAACCAATAAGTCAATGAATAAATGAATTGACAGAGTTCATAAATGAGCAAATGATTGCATGAATGAATGGCTGGACGAATCTGTGAATAAATGATCGAATGACTAAACGGAATGATAAATGAACAAATTAAATGAAGTGTAACCATGCTTAAAAATAAAGTTAAAAAATAATGGACAGTTGCAAGGTCACAATGAATACCCGCTTAGAAGTGAGTCGTACGCAAAGTAACAAAAAATCAACTTCTTATAACCGTTAACCGAACAGTGCTCAAACGTTAAAATAGAAATGCATTCAATGAAGGTCTTCTAGAAGGCAGAAGAAAACTTTATTCGCACAATGCAAACAAAGAAACAAAACGTTTCATGAATCGGCTATAACAAGCTTCTGCTGCCGTTTGCAGGCGATGCCGATGCATTCGGAAAGGACCGACTCAGTAGCCGTGAAGGCGCCACCGAATTTGTAAAGCCCACACAGTTGGCCACCGTCGCCTACCACAATGGACAGCAGCGAACCGTCAACCAGTTCACTTTCTTCCTGGGTCGGGTCACATACGATCAGATTATTTTCGCACAGCAAGAACGTGGACGACACCAGACGGGAGCTGAGCAACTTAAGCTGATGCCTGGCAGATGTGTCGACGCACAGGTTGTCCATGGCAAGCTGAAGCTCTTCGTCCCGGGGTCGCACCTGGGGCAATGACGTATTGCCAAGCGCCGACATCAGCGCGGTCAGGGCGATGTCCAGAACGGCTCCAGAGCAGTCCATTAGCAATAGGTCGCAATACAGCACCCAGCACACCTTGCCGGGTTCAACGCACAACTGTCGCGAGTCTAGAACGCATCTATCGGCCAAGTTCAGCAAGATTTCGGTCGCTTCTTCCAGTTGTGCAGTTTCGTAATCGCTCAAATTGATGCTCGACCCAAAACTGATCGACACTCTTCCCCGTTTGGGTTCCATCAGACTTGGTTCCGCTAGTTCCGCCTTTACGCCACACATAATTGACGTACCACCATGGCGAACCAGCGCCGACCCGTCTGCTGAAGAAATCACTCCTCGACGCAGTAAGGTCTTTCGAAACTCCCGCAACTTCCGTCCGTCTACATGCACGCCCTCATCGACGATTAACTTCCGGTGAAATTTGTGTGGTTCTAGTAACTTTAGATGGCGAGTAACATCATCCACAAATCCTCCACCAGCTTCATCCATGGAAATCATATACCTCGAAGGGCAAACTGTCGTTATTGGTTCGTATTTATTGATCATCAGGTACACTTTTTATACGAGGCTTGTTAGATTACTTAATAACAATGTTTCTAAATGAAATTTTCACTAATTTGTTCTATATTCCAGCTGTTCCGCGATATTATGAAAATTTTAAACTTTTATGAGCCTTTTCAAAATTTATTTTTCAAATGCAAGGTATGTATACATGTATTTATCGATCGATCCTCTATGAGCCCAGGCATACTATCTAGCTCAACTGGTCATCGGATAAAAACCACGAATCCGATTACCGATTTCAAACGCAGCATCTCGTCTGATCGTGAATTGATTTTAAAGCTTCCTTAGCTTCCTAATATTTCTTAGCTACTCTTAGGCTTATTTGTTCTGTTTATAATCAAGTTTTATCGCAAAATAGTATTCCTAACGTGGTATATCAACAAACGGTTTGGTATGCATATCAAAAAAACGCTTTACATTTGACTGCGCAAGGATGTCACCAAAGAATTGTGTTGCAACATCAGTATGATAAAATTAGATCAAAGTAGTTTATGTGATAAATAAAAAGCAGCGACAATCAACTTAACAAAACGAGACTGCTACATAGGAATAGGTAATTGCGCTGAACATGAAGCTTGCTTTTCTTTGCTCATTAGAGATGCTGGATTTGAGTTCTGAGCAGCGTAAGATTTGTCATAGTTCCAACTGGCTGAATTGAGAAACTTACTGCACTTTAATTCTTTTTAATTGGTCGAGGAACGGCCAAGAAATAATTCGTTTTAATCATCGGCGGTACAGCATGGTCCTCCAATCTGATCATCTTCGGCTATGAAGTGGCGTATGCTACTCCTTTCGATTTTTGCAGCAAACTTTTGATTTCGTATTTTCTTATGCATGCATTATGAGTCTTCATTTCGTTTTGACCAAATGGATAACCGACTAACAACCTGCAGAAAGATTAAGCCATCTGAAAAGAAGAATATGGCTGATCTGAGGTATAACCAATGCAACGTAAAGATAGAGCAGACTTTCTTTTGGTCACACTGCTTCAAGTGCCGATCGTTACCAATTTTTCTGAGTAATCAACTCAGGCCTACTAGTGTCCTGCCCCAAGAGGGATTTTCTGAATGTTATGGAGCAGCGCACTCAACCGAATGAGCAAGAGCTCTACACGTATTATGGGAAAAAACCCACTTTTTAGGTGAACTTTATACTGAATGCAACGTAACACTGACTGATCGCAACCCCATTTTGCAAAAGTCTGCATTTTACAATTAAAATAGTCAGGAATTATTATGCCGCATCTAATGTTTTTAGTATAACAGACATTGGCCAATGATCATATTACTCCATACTGACTTTGAAGCTCACTGTTCTATTTCTTTATTGACGTCTCGAAAAATCGATTGTCATTCCATTCTACGACCAGCTTAGATTAACACCGTGCGTATTAATTCTTGTACCCGTTCATAGATTGATTGTTTGTTGTAAATATGCAACTGGTATTGATGTCATGCTGTTGTTCATTCATTGCAAAAACTTGTTGCTGGTCAGATCAGTAATTTTAACGTGAATGGGCTGAATACTCTCCTGGTGAAAAAAATCGCACAAGAAACGCTTGTTTTGGAAGATGCTCTCAATTATCCCAGTCACTATCCGTGTGTAGGTAGTCAGTTGTACGTATTAGTAATACTGCGAACCAGGTCAGAAAATATTTCACTTAAATATCAGAGGCGTATGAAAGTTCTGTAATCACGTTCACAGTGAGGTAGTTTATGCATCGTGAAAGAAAACCTAGGATACATGTAAGAGGCCATGAATAACATGAAAACGACTGACCTATGAATGTTCTATAGGTTTTGTAGCCTGCTTAGCATATGCATACACAGATTTATGAGTAGTGAAAACTTCGCTTAGTCTGATAACCATTTGTTCTAAATAAATTGAATTCAACGTCTTGAATTTTCACAACCACCGATATTTAATAGCTGCGCACGATTGAATTCAGGTGCTACCGCCGCAGAGAACTGAGTCGAAAAAGAAAACGGAAGCGGTCGTACTAAGGCGAATAGCAGAAAAGAAATCTCTAATTATCTAGACACAATAGACATTATGCACCATAATAAGTGTTCATAACTGTCATTAATCGACGAATTTGCTGGAGTTATTATGTGTCCTGCAATCGAATTTACAGTTCTAACAAATTTTATGCTCATAAAAGCCGACTCCGAAAGCGGAGCACCACTAGACTTTTATTCAAAAAGCCTGACTAGGGTAAAAACTACGGCTCTTCAGCCAAACAAATGCAACCACACTTAGTCTAGCCTAAACTAACGTAATTCTGCTGCGACAAAGTACTTTGAGAACCCATTTCTAACGGCAAGAACGTACGTAAGGGAGTTTTGCAGCAAACGATAACATGACTTGGCACACTAGATGAGAGGTTCGAGTTCCGTGAGGCAAAAATTTATTGGAACTACACTTATTTCAGCATGGAATTTACCGCTCTGTTTCTTCGCAAACAACCGAGAAATTCCGTCGTTTAATTGCAATAATGCGAACCGAACTGTGTCCTTGTAGTGTCATGCTAGAGCGTGCGAGACTATTGCTGTCACAGTTTGGTTAAAAGCACTTTCACTCGCTTTGAAAAACCGCAGGCTGTTTAACGTTTCTGATGTCAGATCATCTCACCATTTCGAATTTTCATGTTAATGCCATTCACTGCGTCGACGAAAGAAAAATGCCTCATCGACAGCACATCTTTGTTTAGTTCGAAACACAGAAAAATACTGTATAATGCGTGTGATTCACTACTTCAGTTTACTTTGACCTGCATCACACGTTACGACTAAAAACACTAGGTTTCAATAGTTTTTAGCATATTAAATCATATTCCTAAGCGACACGTAGGTCCAAACCTGCAGAGGATAGAGCAGAGGTTTACAATTAGGGACAAGCATAATAATGACGCCATAACCTTAACCTAGTACTAATTTTTACTGAATAGCCGCACAAAATTTCAGTTCATAATGCACGTAAGGAAAGATTTTGACCACTGAAACGTCGGTCTTACTTCGCTTTCATGACTGAGTCATTTTGGCGCCTTTCTTACAAAGTTAATGATGCGGTGCTGATCTCGTTCCTATGTCATCAGCTACGAGTGCTTTATTTTTAAAGGCAGAGTCTACAGCCATGCTGCAAGCGTAGTGTCAAGTCTCCTATTTCCATCCTACAAAGTGGCACTCATTTATCACCCTCGGAAGGAAGAAGTATGAGCGACTTCGACCGCAGCTTAAACTCAGGATTAATCAGTTCTGAGTTCAACGTTCTATCGACTGAGCAACCCTGGCCTGAAACAATTTGTGGCTCCTTATTCAAGGAAATTCGTTAATAATGCTCCGATTTCCCTCGAGCAGAATCGAACCCGGCACTTCTGGAGTACGAAACAGAATTCGCAGACACTTGTACCAGCAGGTCACACTTGTGCTGACTGAACTGAGAATTAATTTTAGTCTGTAGTAACAGTCCACCAGACCATAACGGTATGGACGGATTATCACTCAGGAGAGTAACAAATACATATGGAAAGCACATTGCATTTAATCAGATTACGACACTTCTGGTTCTGTGCATACTTCCATCAAATGTTCGTCGTCATTCTGACGGACTTCTTCGGTCCGTTTTATCCGCTCCTCGACAGAAATGAGGTAACGCAAGGTGAATTTGTTCGCATCACATCTACAGGCGGCCGTAAGCTTAGTAAAAACAACTGAAGCCAAACCGTTGACTTACATGCGACTTAGCTCCAGTTGCCTTCGGTTGAGGGACTGCTGGGCAGCAGTGATGGCAGGAAGAGAATGCTTCAGCATGTTCTTGAAGTTGGTGGCGTGGTGCACGCACAAGGAATGGGTCCACAAGAGGTAGAATTCGACGTGGATTGTCTTTCCGAACGTATCGCCGACGAAACGCAGCAACTTCTGAGCGTAAATTTCTGGAAGCGCCCGACAAATGGCATCGACTAAAAATTAATAAAAACATAACCCAGTAAAATGAGTTAAACAGGCTATACAAATTTTACGCTGCATGGTTAAAATGTTTATTTGTAATTAACAAGAACTGAATCCAAATTGGCAAGTATATGGTCAAAATCTTGAAATATTTTTATTAGGAAAATCTGAAGGGCAGAACAGAATTTCGGTTAAGGCCGGCATCGACGTTAAATCAAGCAAACCTTTGGTGAAGACAATCAGAAGATGAAGCAAACATTTACTTTGATTTACAAGATTATATACAGATTATAAAGAGGAAGAAAGCATAAATACAGACAAAGTATAGAGAGACACTAAAGAACTGACTTAAAAGAGCAGAAAACACGACTTATCTACACAATGTAAACAAACTGGTGAATCGAATGATTTACCAAACCGACGTTTCAGACAATGTCTCACGGAACTTCTCCAAGGTAGATTGGTTTCATAGGCGGAGTGATACCGTAGCAATTACGTCGGCCTGAGAAACCAGACGTTGGAATCATCAAAGAAATACAGTAGTTAAGAGGCAAGACAAGGAGTTTGATTAAAATCATCCAGTCCTCCGACGACGTTAGTTGTGACAAAGAATGCGAATTCTACCCGCACTGGGTGAGTCTTGCTGCTCCGGTCATTAGAAAATATTTAGTTTGCTGCACGGGCCGAACGCTCACCTTATGGCTCCTAACATTAGATAGCTGCGAACGACAAAAAAACTTTTGAAGCCAACAAATCCGAAAGACACAAATCGATACGTCGGTACTGGTAAATCATCCGACTGACCGTGTTACTTGCCGTAACAACTTGTTGTGTGTAAATAAACCGTGCTTTATGCCGTTTTTAGGACGATTATCAAATGCATAAAAAAAGAAAAAGGGCTGACCCGTATTAAAAGAATAACAAACTGAAAAAATATATTGCAGTACACCAAACAACAGCTTGATTTAATGCGATATTTCGCATATACACGGTGCAACAAAGGTTTTGCAGTGAAAAAGGAAGCCAAAAGCTTTGATATGAGACTCTTTCCAGATGATCTGCCAATAAGCATGTACATACTGATAAAAGCTTTT